CTCTCTTTTTTTTTCATTGCTTGTTCATATTTTATTTATTTATTTATTTATTTATTTTAGTCTTCTCTCATAGATTACATTCTGACGGCAATTTCTCCTCCCTTACCTTTCCCCCCTCACCTTGACCACCCAGATCCACCTGCCCCTCTCTTCTCTGAGAAGAGCAGGCCTCCCAGGCACATCCACCAGATACAGTATAACAAGCTACCAGAAGCCAAGGTGCATACCATCACATCAAGGCTGGATGAGGTAATCCAGTGGGAGACGACAGGGGTCACACAGATAGACAAAAGAGTGAGAGACAGCCTCCGCTCCCATTGTTAGGAATGCCACAAGAACACCAAGCACCGAGGGTGCCTAGGAAATATGAGACAGACGAGGAGGGCTGGAAGCCCTAGGTGGTAAGCATGGCCTCTCAGCTTGCCTCTTTCCTGACGGCCTTTCCTGATGGCCTTAGATTTCTATGCTTCTCTCTCAATTTGTAGAAACAACAGAAAATCTGAAGGAAACAGATCCGGGAAGATCCTCAGCAAGAAAAGTGGCCTTGTCACCAAGCTTGGGGAGGGTTTCTGAGAAGGGGGTATGGTATGTTCAGCACTTTGAGTTGCTTCGCATTGGAAAGGTGGAGGTGGAAATCCACATCTGGGCTTAGGAGTCTCAAAGTAGCAGGGGTCTTGGTGAGAGCTCGCTGAAAAGAAGATTCTTCAGCGTATGTTCCTCAGTATAGATCAGCAGCTGTGACGGGCTACATACAGCAAGACTGAGCGTGTCAGCGTGTGTGCAGGAGTTGAGGTTTGGGGTTGGAAGGAGACCTTTGCAGCAGACTCAGACAGGAGTTGAGTTTTAGGGGCTAAGGTAGCCTTTACAGCAGAATCAGTTTTTGTTTTAAGCCAATCATTTTAGGAAGGTATAACGCATATAGAGTTCTGTTGGGCAGAGTTAAAAAAACAAAGTCAGTATATTGAAGAGAAGGCAGCACGGGCTAGCTCAGACCAGAGGTGACAAGTTGTTTCTAAGATGCGCTAAACAGACACAAAGGAGGGCGAGGGGAAAAGCTGTTTCTAGGAAACAGAAGCTAGAGGCTGTAGAGGGATGGGGGTGCGTCAGAGGACCCTGGGAGTGGATCTGATGCTTTATAGACATACCCATCCCCCCAGTGGGCTTGTCTCAGGCTTGATTCTGTATCGATGGTAGAGGTACCCAGGGAGCCACATTCTAGGCAGAGATTTGGCTCTGGTGTGTAGATGGGTTGTTTGGGCAGAGAAGTGAGTGGAGGGTATACAGTTTGTGGTCTACCACTCACACTCTCTGCCCTGCGAGGGAAGCACCCATGCTCCACTCTGAGGGTGCCCAGGAAGGAAGCACCCCATGCTCCACTCTGAGGGTGCCCAGGCACTGGAGTCTCACACTGATTTTTTGGGGGATGGGGTGGGGACAGGGTTTCTCTGTGTAGCCCTAGCTGTAGGGCTAGAGATTGTAGACCAGGCTGGCCTCGAACCCACAGAGGTCCTCCTGCCTCTCCGCCTTCTGAGTGCTGGGATTAAAGGCGTGCGCCACCATCGCCTGGCCATCACATTGATTTCTTAGGAGTACAAAAGGTATAATTAAAAAATTCTGACTTAGGTTAGCATCTTCTCTAGTTTTCTAGACTCCGCTTTCCTTTTCCCCTTTGGAGTTTGTTTTTGTTTGCTTAGAAACAAGTTCTTACAGGCTAACATAGGCAGGCTTCCAACTCTGATCCCTTTGCCTTGGTATTGTGAGTTCCTGGATTGCAGACCTGTTCCATGCCTGTTTCTTTTCTTTTTTCTTTTTTTTAAATAATTTAATTCTTTTTATTTTAGAAGCACTCTTATTTACATATCAGTTCCCCCATTCCCTCACCCTCCTATCCTCCCAAGCTCCCCACTGACCCCCCAACCCACCCTCACCCACTCCCCAAGGATAGTGAGGCCCTCCACGGGGGATCATCAAGGTTGGTCACATCCTTTAGGAGAGGGCCTAGGCTGTCTTTTGTGTATCTGGGCTGCAATAGTACACTTCCATAGAGAAGGGGCTCCCAAAGTCCATTTGTGCTCTAGGGATAAAGACTGGCTCCCACTGTTAGAGGTCCCATAGACTATCTTGGCCTCCTAGCTGGCACCCACATTCAGAGGGCTTGGTTAAGAGAGCTATTTCCCAAGCATTATGACTAGAGTCTCCGTGCACTCAGTAGGTCAGGCCAACTGTTTCTGCGGGTTTCTCCAGCACCGTCTTGGGTCCTTTGCTCATCCATCTTCCCTCTCTGCAACTGGATTCCAGGAGTATGGCTCAATGTTTGGCTGTGGGTGCCTGTTTCTGCTTCCATCAGCTACTGGATGAAGGCTCTAGGAATGGCAGCCAAGATAGACATCAATCTCATTATAGGGAAGGCATCTTCTCCAGCACTGCCTAGATTCTTAGTCATCCCTATGGATCCCCTAACTTTTCCCCTGTGCTAGACTCTCTCCAAACCCATACTGCCTCCCTCTATCAAGGCCTCTCCTTTCCTGCCCTCCTCTAGTCCTCCTGTTCTCGCCTGTTCTTCTCACCCCACCCCTTCCCACCTCCCTGCTCCCCCATGCTCCCAATTTTCTCAGGGATTCTTGTCCCCCTCCCCTTCTTCGGTGGGCCATGTGTTCTTCTCTTGTTTCCTAGATTCTCTGGTGGTGTGGATTCTAGGCTGGTAATCCTTTGCTCTATGTCTAATATCCATATCTGAGTGAGTACATACCATGTTTGTCTTTTTGTGACTGGGTTACCTCACTCAGGATGTTTTCTTCCAGTTCCATCCATTTGCCTGCGAATTTCAAGGTTCCATTGTTTTTTTTCTGCCGAGTAGTATTCCATTGTGTAAATGTACCACATTTTCTCTATCCATTCTTCAGTTGAGGGGCATCTAGGTTGCTTCCAGGTTCTGGCTATTACAAATAGTGCTGCTATGAACATGGTTGAACAGATGTCCTTATTGTATGACTGTGCATTCTTTGGGTATATGCCTAAGAGAGGAATTGCTGGATCTTGAGGTAGACTCATTCCCATTTTCCTGAGAAACTGCCATACTGATTTCCAAAGTTGGCCACACAAGTTGGCACTGCCACCAGCAATGGAGGAGTGTTCCCCTTTCTCCAAATCCTCTCCAGCACAGACTGTCATTGGTGTTTTTGATTTTAGCCATTCTGGCAGGTGTAAGATGGTATCTCAGAGTTGTTGTGATTTGCATTTCCCTGATGTCTAAGGATGTTGAGCAATTTCTTAAGTGTAAGTGTCTTTCAGCCATTTTAGATTCCTCTATTGAGAATTCTCTATTTAGTTCTGCATTCCACATTTTAATTGCATTGTTTGGTGTTTTGGAGACTAGCTTCTTGAGTTCATTGTATATTTTGGTGGTCAGCCCTCTGTCAGATGTGGGGTTGGTGAAGATCATTTCCCATTCTGTGGGCTGTCATTTTGTCTTGCTGAATGTGTCCTTTGCCTTACAGAAGCTTCTCAGTTTCAGGAGGTTCCATTTGTTAATTGTCTATCTCAGTATCTCTGCTACTGGTGTTATGTTCAGGCAGTGGTCTCCTGTACCAATCCATTCAAGGGTACCTCCCACTTTCTCTTTTAATAGGTTCAGTAGATGCTACTTTGTCAGCCAGTTTGGCTGTTTTTTCTAGGTCAGTTTTTTTTTTTTTTTTTTGCTATCCCTGTAACCAATTCCCTCTGCCCAGGTAGTCCTGGGCCATCTTGCTACCCTTAGTTTCATCCCTTTGATGGAAGTGACCAGTGAATGGAAACTTTCTCCTGTGATAAGGATGGTAGATTCCACCTTCCAGGTACCACAGATTGGAACAAAGACTCTTCCAACCCAAGGTATCAGGACCTCAGACAGCCTCTTCCTACTCTGGTCCAGGATGCATTCAAGTATTGAGATAACAGGGCATTGTTAAGATGGGATTCCTGTTCATACTGGCCATTGTTGTTATCAGAATTGGTTTCTAACAAGAAATAAACTGTGGTGATTTTTTGTTTATGACCTAACAAATAAAGCTAGCCACACTAGTTATCCATAGATGCCAGGCAGTGGTGGCCCACACCTTTAATTCCAGCTCTCAGGAGACAGAGGAAGACAGATCTCAGTGCTACCCCGAGCTACAGGAAATTGATCCAGTCTAAAAGAGAAACAGCACTTACACTCTGCACTTGGCATCTGACGCCTGTTAATCCTAACACTAGAGAGGAATATAAGGCGGGAGGAGACAGGAGCTCAGTGCAGTCTGAGGTTTGGTGGAGACAGATGCAGTCTGGAAATGCAATCTGAAGACAGGATCTGCCTTTCAGTCAGAGCATTAGTAGAAGTGAGAACTCTCTAGTGGTTGGCTGCTTTGCTTTTCTGATCTTCAGTTTTAAACCCAATGTCTGTCTCTGGGTTTTTATTATTAATAACAGTTAGAATTCATGCTGAAATAAACTAGGAACTATATTGAAGATTCTCTATGTGTCTTTCACTGCCTCCAGGTTTTTCTTTTGACTCTTGACAGTTTAATTAACTATGTGTGTGCATGTTCCCTTCTAGGTTGGAGCTCTTAGAAGTCTTTGATGAGCATATTTTTTGCTGTGGTTTCTGTAGGCTCGGTATCTCATTCTTTCCAAGAATATCCCAAATATAGGGCCCTGGGTAGTACTCAGTTAAATTTGACATATCAACTAGACTCTTCTATTTTTTTTTCTTTTTGGAGATAGGCTCTCCTTACATAGCTCAGACTGTCCTATAACTCACTGTGTGGACCAGGCTGGCCTCAGACTCTCAAAGAGATCCTCTTGCCTCTGTCCCCTGAGCGTGGGGATGAAAGTGAGTCACCACACCTGGTTAGAAGCTTGATAACATCTAGTAGGTCCTTTATATCTAGTTTCCTGTCCTCAAAGACTTCAGCCTCATTCCATCCTTGGAACATTTGGCAAGGTTTGCCACAGGCTGAGAAGGATCGTGTATGCTCTTTCAGGAACCAGTGACTTTCAAGGATGTAGCTGTGGCCTTCACCCAAGAAGAATGGGGGCAGCTAGATATTGTTCAGAGGACCCTGTACCGTGACGTGATGCTGGAGACCTATGGACATCTACTCTCTGTGGGTAAGGCAGAAACTTCCAGATAAATAAAAAAAACTATTTCCTCCACAGTGTCTTCAACTATTCCCTGAAGGTCGTACGTTGTGTCTCTGAAGGACTGAGATGATCTTGAACTTTGAGATTCAGAGATGAATTCCTCACACAAAATATAAGGGAGAAGGTTGTACATAGTCTGCTTAAGTGAGGGGTCACAGGAGGAAGAGGCAAGGGGAGATTTCTTTGGCAACTCCAAAGCTTTGTCACCAAAAGTATGCGTCTTTCCTCCCCTGCAGGGAACCACATTTCTAAGCCTGAAGTCATCTCCCTGTTGGAACAAGGAGAAGAGCCATGGTCAGTGAAGCAAGCATATCCTCCAAGCACTTGTCCAGGTGAGGTGAAGCCTGGGCATCGAATGAGGAACTTTTTCTCAGAGCTCCTCTTTTTGCGAAATGGTCTAAGGGTAGAGGAGTTGTCTTCTGAGCACCCAAATCTCCTCTAGGGAGCTTTCCTTCTCCTTCTTTGTCTTCCGTCTCCTCCCCCTTCTCACCTCACTTCCTCTTCCCTTTTTCCTTCCCCTCTCCCCTCCTGGCCCCTCCCTTCCCATCGTTTTCCTCTTTCTAGCTACCGCTGATTCAGGGCAGAGCTTCTCTCCTAAGGCTGCCCTCTCTCTCTGCTTTATGCTTGCTGTTCACATTTGCTGTTCCTTCTCTAAGAAAAGTTTTCATTTATTTACCTACTTAAAAATTTGCTTCTTAAATTTCCAAATTGTAGTCTATGGCTTCAAACACAAAAACAACAAACAAAAATAGTTTTTGAGTATAGGCAGTGAGTGTATCTACATGATTTGAAAAAGTTAAAGCTAAATAAAATATATAAGTTCAAATTTCATATATATATATATTCATTGTTCTTTACCCACATACTATTACTTCCCAATACACAGATAATCTTATACTCTTTTTTTCCCCTCTTTTACTATGGTTTTTGTTGTTGTTGTTTTTGTCTTAGTGGGTTGTGCTGGGGATTATAATTAACATGTCTATAATCTTGTCTGCATTAACGCCTTCAGTCTTGCTAGTATTAAACACTTTGCTTTTATATAGCTTGGCCTCTTTTGCACATTTATGGATTGTATGTTATCAGCAAACATTTGTAGTTAATGATGTTTAACATTTTTTCATTCTAGGTTGTTAGAATTCTTAAAATCTTCA